CCAATTAATGAGAATACTTCCACATCCGAAATCGAGGATATATATGACTTATATGGAAGTATCTAGATTAGTTCATAGCTTATCTATTCATTCACTATAACCCGTTTTAAATCAGCGAATCAGATATCGGCATAGAAGTATTTCGGAGAAATGACACTCCGTGTCTCGTGAAACATGCATAGCCAGATAGTTGTTTATTGATCAAGATTGATAGGGACAAAGTCCCATTGCTATGCAATAATGCGTAACGTATCCGAAAAAATAGTGAATATCGAGTTGATTTTTTCAGGCCTTCAGGCGTCTCTACGAGGCATGACATTAATATTCGAAATCAATAGTCTACGCTTTCACCGTTACTATTTGGATTGAATTTTGATAAGCCTCCCAGCATTTGAGACGATAGGTTTTTGTATTGACATAATCTCCACTACCCCATTCACCCTCTACATTATATCTTATATTTTCTTTTTTATGATCTTTATTGCATATAGGGCAGGATACTGAACTATTAAAATCAAAATAATCGTGATTTTTATGACCCTTTAGGGCTCGCCCCTTCGGGCCTGCTATACTTCGAAGATAAATAAGGGAACTGCTTTAGCACTTTATCAATAACGGACTTTCGTTTCTCTTCTGAATCGTCGGGTAAAATAGAGATTGAAGGTCGAGATTTATTATCAGAGGCAGACACAAGGTGGCTAGATGTAGATATACTTACTTCAGCTTCCGGTAATTTTGAGGAAGCAGATATCGGGGTATCACCACAAGGTAACACTATCTGTTTGAGAGAATCGTTAAAATTTACTGGAGAGTGCGCAACATCTTCTGTAGAAATACTTTTTTCTTCTTTTCCCTGTTCTAATATAGCGAGCCTAGTCTCAAGCTCTATATTCTTTTGCTCTAATTCCTCAACTCTAACATTGCGCTTTTCATTCTCCTCGATAATCCGCTTCAGCTTCACATTTTCAGATTTAATCTCAGCAAATTTCTTTTCAAGTTCGGGAATCTTGGCATTCTCCTTTCTAAGCTCAGCAATCGTGGCTATGAGCTGAGAATTTAATTCTTGCAACGAATCGATTTTGGATTGAGTGTTCGACATTACTTTATATAGAAAGCACATTCATTCAAAATCTTTTTATTATGCAGATATCGGCATAAAGTACCGAAGTTAAATCATACGGATCATTTTATAACATATAATGGATTATAAAACCATACGCCAAGAAAATACATTTTAAAATTATGATAAGGTTACTTGTGACAATAACGTTGATCATTAAGTCATGAAACTGAACTTCGGTCACAAGACCAGTTGATCGTACATATATCAGGTGTCAGATGAGACTTCTTTATCAATTCCCACCACGGATCTTGTCAAAAAAAATATCCCGTAAAAAATGGATGCGCCTATCTATACTTTTGTTGATGGTGTCCCTACCGATCCTCGGGTTCTGGCAGTCTATAACAGTATGAGTGGGGCCCAAAGAGCCAGGTATGCTACTATCACTACTGACCAGGGAAGAAGCGATTTCTTGTATGGAGTTGCGGAAGAAAAGAAAAAACCGGTATGTTTGCTTAGATAGTGTACATTTGCCATTGAACTTTTCACTGAGATTTGTTCTAAATGTTAGTGGTGGCGTCGCTTACTTGACTTATTTCGATAGCGACATTATCTCAATCTTGTTTATGCTGTAATCAATTTACTTTCCGTTACCGGTTTTAATATCTGGAGCCATTTTCAAAGACAAGACGGAGATGAAATGTTGGAATAATTACAAGCCTGAACAAGATGTTATACTTATGCAATTATGCATTCTCTTTGGTACCCAAATTATGATCATAGCCATGACATCAGCAACACAAGGATTGTTTAACAAGGATAAGTTTCCATTTATCTTCGTTCCAATAATTATTGGGATAGGGTTGGCGGTAGTGGGAGGCCCAACTTGGACGTTGCCATCTACCGCGATTTCTTTCGTAGGAGTTGGGATATTGTTTGCGGAGAGTGCCATATATTATTTTAGTATATTCACTTGATAATAACGATGGTGAGGTTAGATCTTATTGCCTACATCTATTGAACTCACACAGCGACCCCCCCAAAATTCCGTCGCTAACTCACACAGCGACCCCCAAAATTCCGCCGCTGATCCGTAGATCATTTCCAGAAATTGTCTTGCGGAATTGCCGAC